ATTCACTGTGTTTATTCTGACATGGTACTTTTGATCAAAGCGATAGACTGGCATCCTATCCAGCACCCAGCCGCTTGCTGGGACAGGCTCCTGCTCCCCCATGAATGTCTGTATACAGTGCATGCAGCTATTCATTCATTTGGAAATGCCCACAACAATGGTTTCTTCAAGTTCATGCTACAATAGCATCAAATATCAACCCGTCTGTGTTATAAATCGGTAATTATGGCGTTATAAGCTTAGAGTGGTGTAATAAACTGCAAGATACACTATTACAGTCTAGTACAGTAAATCACACAGTGCAGCAGCAGTATAGGTCATGAGTACTGTATGTGCACCAAATTTAAAATGGTTGCAGGATTGAAAAAACAACACCAATATAGACATAGCACAATGATAAAAGTTGTAATTATGAGAGCTCGCAGCAAAATATAGAGTGTGACCACTGGTTGTGTGAGACCAGATCTGCCTCTGTACAGGAAAGCACTCCAGTCTGTGCTTTGAGATGTACAGTGATGAAAATGGGCTTCTATGCGAAACAACAGGCATGAGTTTACCTTTTCGGTACATGTTGGTGTCACAGTTTTACCTTGTGAGTGCTGTAACAAAAACTCTGTATTTTGAATGGGCTGTCAACATCTCAAATATAATTCTAGATGAGTGTTAATGTCTGTGTTCTTACCATAGTACAGTATATTGATTGGAATAGTCTTCCAGGTGCATTCTCACACTGGTGTATCGTGTTTATCATCTGTTACAGTTAACTGCCTGCGTCCATGGGTCAGCAGCAATGTTATACCCTATGTACTGGCAACATGTTTACATTCCCGTTCTGCCTCAACACTTGATAGACTACTGCGGGTGAGTACATCTTCTTATAGTTTGACAGATGATAGATAACCCCAAAAAAAGTTGTTGTTTTTTCTTCTCAGATTCTCTCCTTTCATGGATGCCGATGGTCGTACTATATGTCATTACTAGTCGGTATAAAAAAAACGTTGGTGGTGCATGTAAATTAACGATGGGTGGAGCTGTCATTTGGCCGATGCTTGTTTTATCCAGAGCAGCTTACATTTGAATCCATTCACGCAACATTTTAGGGAAGCAGTCTCGCATGTTGCACCCCTTGGAGCTGGAAAGTACAGTACCACCTTGCAGAACCCAAACCTCTGCATTAAAACAGTACTTGACCTGAAGATATTGCTGGTCCCTAGCCATCCCAGGAATGTCTACTTCAGACGATTCAGCTTCATATACTGTCTTGCATTCACATTAGATCTTAACTGAAGTGCTTTCCAGTATAGATCAATAGATTAAAGCACTTTGAGAAGCCACCTTTAAAGGCACTATAGAAAATAAAGTTGTTTTTTATTATTATTATTATTATTTTTATTTACAACAAAATCCATCACTTATAGGGCAAGTTAGGCAGATACCACTGCTAAAAGTTGTTAAAATTATTTCACATAAATGGCTTCTGAATCTACATGAAATCTCTTGAATCCTTTGCTATCGCCAATGTGGTGGCACAATGGCCAGCATTGCTGCCTCACAGTGCTGGGGTGCTGGGTTCATCTCTGGACCTGGGGTGCTGTCTGTGTGGGGTTTGTTTGGCCCCCCGGTGTTTGTGTGGGCTCCTGTTTCCCCCCACAGTCCAAAGACAAGCTGGTAGGTTCATGAGCTTCTGGGAAAATTGGCCCTGGAGTGAGCGTGTGTGTCTGTGATGGACTGGTGTCTCATCCAGGGCGTATCCTGCCTTGTGTCTGTTGCTTGCTGGGATAGACTCCAGCTCCCCCTTGACCCTGAATTGGATGAAGTGAAGATGGGTTATGCATCTGAAATGTTTCAGTATAGAACTTCTATTAGAGAGTTGCTGCTCAGATTTAGGTGTTTATTTTCTTAACTCCCATTAGGTTCAGTGCCATTTTCACTAATCCCTCTATCACGATTATCTACGACACTGTCCATCACATTTCAAAATCTCTCTGATAAAAGATTAACCTTTATTCCACTGAGTTGTGTGTGTGCTGTGGCATTTCTTTGCTTTGTGCTGAAACAGTTCTGCAATGATGAACTAAGCGGCTTTAACCATAAAAAACAACATCAAACTATTAGGTTTGCATAATGTATGTGAGCTTCTGGTATTTTTATTTTAAACATGGACATGCCACTCTAAATGCAAGAAAACAGAGTTTTCAAGTTGTAACTAAAAAAACAGTTGATGATAAGAGAATTGAAATATGATCTTAGCAGTGTTTGTAATTTATATGCTGTATAATATATCTCTTTTGTTGACAATGCACTGCACTTCCTGTGTTTTACTTTGCAGTAAATTGTGTATTTAAGGCGGCTAAAATCTGCCTTTGTATTTCAAATCTGACACTGACTTTCCTGGGCTATTATAATGTAGTGTCTTTCATTTGACTTCATTTAAACGTCTTTATCAAGTTTTATCTGTCTACAAAACAGCTGTATGAGCACATTTTACTCCAATCCGAATATCAATTGTTCCATTAGATCCTAATGCATGCGAAATATTTAGAGAGTACTTGACGTGAGTCACCTAGCTGAGAGAGTGACTGTCTAGCCATGAGGACAGGCCGGACAAACCCCCTGCCCCCTTCACTATTGCAAGGATTGAGCCAAGGGTCTGTGCAAGGGTCTAGGTAGGCAGGTGGGGGAGATGGGAGAGAGATACGCGAAGGGACGACCTGGGTGCGAGATTTATGTACATACTTTAGGCGAGCATGTGCCAGATTATGATCTCATCTTCCTCCTGAACTCCATTGTGCATGCTTTTTTCAATCAACTTCAAACGGAGACAGACCCAGTATTTTAGGATACTGGCATTTCATTGTAAGAAATGCCTGGGAGATAATAATATGCAACTGAGACCAATATCTTTCTTTCAGTGCCACAGTTTACAGATCCTGTATTACTATCCTTATTTGCCAATGTGCTTCTACTTATTGAACACCTGTGACTAGCTGTGTTTACTAGAACTTTCAGTTTTGCAGTCCCTTTTAATTACACAGCATCCGTTTAATGCAAATTTGTAGTTATATTGATCAGTCGTTTCTTTGCTCAATCTGCAACCTGGAAATAAGATTATGTATCACTTATACGTAGCGTATCATGAAAGTACTGTACATGTTTTCAATAAAAAGGAGGTTTTCATCAGATTTTAGTTATACGTTCAGGCATTTAAGAAATTTGTATGCCATTGCCTGTAATTATGAGTTTTTGTTAGGGGCCACATCAAATACCCTCAGCTCCAAGTTGAGCCCAGATAGAGAAAATAACCTATACAATTTTAGAATGTGTTATATTTTAAATGCATTTTTTGTTTGTTAGGTTAGGGTAAGGTGGTGTAAATGATTCTGTTACACAATTAAGGTCATTTTTACACAAGAGTTTTCATTTAATGAACTAGGTTTCAGTATACAATCAGTGCAATACAATCAATCGGTGTTATGGTCTCTAAGATTGCCTACAAAATGTGGTAACAAAGAAATCTTACCTTCAAACGCTTTCCTCATTTAACGCTTTTATTTAGTCATTTTCATTACTTTAGAACAGATTGATCCTTTTTTGTTGCAGAATGAATTTCAGATGTATTTTTATGAGCACAGGGATGTATGACTTGGAATATATACTGTGCATTATGAAGATTAGCGTGTCAAAAAAATAGCATTTCGGGGAAAAAATGGGAAAATATTATTTCCAGTTCGGCTGGTGGGGGTGGGAGTTGTGAGTTCTGCTTTGGAAATGAATTCAGAGCTCATAATTTGATTATTGTTCTGTATTCCCTATACCCTTCCATATCTTTTACTAACAAGCTCTGACGACAAATGTAAGGGAGCCAGCAGGGATAACCAGAGTTTTAAGTGAAGTGCCAGGAGCCTGAAACATTTAAATTTGAAGGAGGTTTGTTCCCCTGTGGATGATTTAAATGTTAAGTACATCCCCATCTCGGGGATACATGAAAATGCAATCTGAAAACTATTATCTCCAATCCAAATGAGCCTTCAATTTACTCACTGCAGAGGAAGGGCAGATTCTATTCATTTTCGCTGCCAGCAGGTGCCTTTTCTTTGTATAATAGGCTTTGCATGTGTAATTAACACATGAAGGCCATTGCTGCCAGATTCACTTCAGGTGCAACGCAGGCTGGAGCCTTCAAGACTCATGAGTGGACCGCAAGAGGTTTTTCGCGTCGGGAATGAAGATTATATTTTCTCTGGCTGTGGCACAAAAGTTGTGTTAAGAAGGGTTTCTGTTCGGAACCTGCTGTTGAGAGAGCAGGTGCAGACAAAGTGTGCACCTTGGCAAAATCCTTTTCGGAGATTTAATTCAGAAATGTTTTTGCCGTTCTCTTTACAGAAGCCTGTACAACAAATAGAGCTCACTGTGTGGGCTGGCTAATAGGTTAAAAAGTCTTATTATGAAACCTGTAATTACCAAAGATAAACTAATTAGTAAAATAGGAAAAACTGAAAATACAGCAGCCAATTAATGGGGTCATCATGTACTTTAATTAGACTGATAATCACACATTGTAATTTTCTGAATGGATGACTTTTCCATCAATTTATGTGTCATCAGTATATTTATGAAATGACTGGCAGCGATTTGCACGTGTTTATATAAATGAAACAATATGTTTTTGGTCATTTTGTCCAAATAGCAGATTTTATCTCCAGGCTTTCTGAGTGGTCTGGTGTTAATTAAGAGTATATGAGGGAGGGAGGAAGGGGTAAGCTGCTAATTATTTCTTGTTTTGCCCCAAACCTAAATCATTCATACGATGATATCGGCTGTGCAACAATACTGTGCAGCATTAAGGCTTGTCTGTGTACGGTTTGTGATAGAGCTGGAAGGCATAGCATGTTTTCTAATTTAATTATGTGTTTTGGAAAAAATGCATTGTGCCGTTTAGGTATCTAACCAAACTTTTGCATGGATTTTACTTTCCTCATGTTTTTATGACCTCCTAAAAACAGAGTAACACTGTTGGCACTTCTGGCTTAAAATGAGGTGAGATTTTAGTTTCAGTACAAACTGGTGTCCATTTTGATTTGTTTTTTTCACTGGCAGCCTTTTGGATTGAGAACAAATCAATGGAAAAAAAGGAAAACCTTAAGAGACACATCTGCAGTCCGTAGCTACAGACTGGCAAACCTTCATGCTTTATTCAGTGCAGAACTTTCTTGTTCAATAATGTGTCCTCTATAGCCAGTATTTTGCTTTGATCCAAGTTTACTACAGTCATAAAGTCAAACTATGATAGTGCTATTATTCAGGTGAGCAGTACTGGATAGAGATGGACAGGTGGCTATTTTCCTTAATCCTTTAAGATATTACTCATTTGCGAAAAGGTAGTCAAGAAAACTGATATATCTGTTTGTCATATCCTAGTGCATTGTACCTAAAAGCATACATATGTATTTGTTGTAAAGTTTAACTCATCCTTGGTAAGATCATCTTCTGAAATGATGGTGATAATGAAGAGGGGGAATAAGAGAAATATTTTTTAATTAGAGTTAAGAGTTTTGTGTTTGACAGTGTAATCTTCAGAATTTCTGACCTTTTGGCTAAACATAGAGCAGAGCATTAATAGCTATCACTTTGTGGTTTATTATAAAACTTACAAATCAACCCCATGTCCTTGTTTTTTCCCCTCCTTTTGAAAGAATATTTTGCTGTGTGTTACAATTCCTGTGGAAAAAAGACATGTATTGTGGTATTTTAATTAAACCTTTCTTCTGTTGGTTTCAGAAGATTGAAAAGAGGTTGCAGTGCTGTTAATTAAGTTCTGTGGATCCAAATTCTGCGTATGTGCTCGATGACAGTTTTTTTTCTTCCTTTTTTTATTTCAACACATTAACAAATTACTGGGATTTACAGAATCCAGCAGTCTCCCTGCTTCCTTTCATTATAGTTTCTAGGCCCTCAGTAGATGAGACGTTTTTGCACTCTTTCGACTTCCTGCAGTGGCCAAGACTTGGCTCTTCTGACATTGAAGCTGTCGTGTTCTGAAGCTACTTAATTAGAAACATGCTCATTTCAGTGTGACCTGAAGGAGGCTGGGCCACTCTGTCTGATATATGAACATTCCTAAGGAAGGCAGTTCTGACAGAGACATGTTCCCCGCTACATCTCATTTCAGAAAACTATTTTCAGTGCCTTCGGTATGAAAAGGGTACTTTGGCCCTGCATTCTTAAACCCTGAACGGCCTTATTTTCATAATGTGATCTTAAAAAAAAAAACAATAGCCACGAAGGGAAGGTTGTTCACAGAAAAAAAATGAATAATTTGTGCCTGGGATATATAATATATGTAGTAAGAGGTGTGTAAACCGCAACAAATGAGTTTTGAAACCAACAGCAGCCTCTTTTATACAGTAAGTGTTTCTTTCACAAACTGACGTATATCCTATTTTCACGATTTTTACAGAGAACTGTGGAAATTGTATAGAACAGCCCGTTGCTTCTGCAGGGTTGATTTCCTAAGCAAATAAAAACACTGTACATGAAAATCAAAGTATTGGAAAATCAACAAATGTCTGGTGTTTGGTATATTTTATCAGTGTCTTTGATCTACCACAGAACCAATATATAAACATGTCAAAACCGAAAAAATCCCATCACTGCAATTGATAAAAAGGAGCTTTTCTAAAGGGAGATCTTGGTCATCTTCATGAGATAGAGAAAATCTTGGATAGGCTTGAATACAACAGTGCTTTTACCTCTCTAAATATGCATTCAAGTGTTTTTAATAGTAGTGATAATAATAGTACAAGGTTAGTGTTACAAAATCTATCCAGTAAGTATGGATATACATGTTCCGTTCATTTTCTAATTACAACTACTTTCATTCCTTTGCAAAAAGGAGATTTACATGTCAGATAAATAGCCTAGAGTATTTCATATTTCAAAATGGTATAAATATGAACATAATGTAGTCCTTCTTACTCATATCACCACAGAACACATTACCTCTAAATCATTATTTTAGACTCATTAAAACAGCCATTTTTCTGTATCTGTGCCATATACCTTTGCAGTCGGCTGTACGAGGTCAGAAGGCTTGGGCAGAGGTGTTCACATGTATCGTATTTACCCAAGGGTTATCAGGTGCATAGCAACAGCCTTGTCATCTGTTTTTTCTCTAAAGATAGCAGCATTTTGGAGTCGCTGGAAAGAGGACGAAAATTTAAAATATACTGTAGCACGCACTGAAAATGTTTCAATGTGGTTGCGTCCCCACCTGTGTAGAAAAGTCAGAATCATTCTCCATTGTTAATTTTTACAATGGAATACGCTGTTCATCAGTTTTGAAAGCTTCAGCGCTGGCCAAAGACAATTCAGAAGTGGTGCATAAGGAAGGAGGGAAGACCAAGATAATGTAGGATAATGGGTGGATGAAATTAAGAGGTTTGATCTGATCTGTGGATGGACTGATGGTAGAACTCTGTCCTCCAGCAGTGGAATAAAGGACTTGCATGGTGATTCAGAGCACAACAACACCTTTGTCACCCTTTCCGTTTAGAATTAAATCCTTAAACCTTTGCATAATAGACTTTGCGACTGATTTTGCACATTTAGTTATTCCTTTGCTTTATAGGTTAGACCATCCACAGTTTTGAAGCCCAAATCTGTTCCTGAACACTTATTGCAGCACATTTGCGGTCATTCAGATAAAATGTCGATTGTAGATACCTGAATTTTTTTTTTCCTGAAATGCTGTGCATCATAAAATTGTCTGCCATTGTTCTAGAATTCAGAAATACAGTGTCATATTTTGGTCCTGTAAAAGCCCGTAAGGTATATTAATCAGTGGAAACATTCTTTTCTATGCAATTTTCTATCGATCGATTGATTTTATTGAACAACTCAAAATAGAACACCGGTTACAAACCAATATTTTGTTAGGGTTTTGATGTATCCGTAGAAATTTCCCACAGTTTTTTCTTATATTAGTGAATAATGATTGTATTTTGTAACTTATCTGTCAGAAATGTTTTGCATAATATGGAACTCTAAAATACATCTTACACTTAGCTTCCAGTTTTCTATCTCGAGATATGCCTGACATTGCAGATGGCAGCTGAAGTTCGATTTGACTGACTGCAGTGCCACTAAACAAAAAGACACTCGCGCACAGACATGTGACTTGAGTCTCATTATTGCAGTGAAGGGATACAAACGCATTTGAGTGTAAAAAAGATACAGACAGGCTTTGTGGAAAACGGATTTGGTTTGTTTGTTTTTTTTTTTTTTACCATGTTGAATACTTACTGTCATTTTATGTTGTCCTCTTTATACTGTTGGCTGTCATTATTTCTGTTATTCTGCCAGAACGTGGTTTTGTATTTTGTCTATCTATATACGTCTACACTTAGAAACAGGAGAAAGCACTTTTAAAAATATATCTCTCAGTCTGCATAGATATCCTGTTTGTAAGTTTAGCACTCAGTCCAAATTTGCCATCTGGTTAAACATTTTTGAACTTATGATTTGGACATACGCATTATACTGTACTTCTGTCTTAGCACGTGTTCCCATTGAAGGATATTAATAAGCAAATGTAGTATGGGTACTTGTAAAGCACCCTATTTGCTGTGGAAAGACCCTAGAGACAGCTCTAACTACAAAATGTCTAGTAATTTCTTTAACACGCCCCCAAAACTAGATATGGTCATCTAAAACTACAGTTGTTAAATGTTCAAAATGTTGTCCTTTTTGTTTGAATTCTGATTTGTAACAATATAGGGGAGACAAGGGAGTACAGTTTTTTTGCATTAACATTTTTCAGTCTCATTGTGAAATATGTTTGTCACAGTTCTCTTGCATTTTGTAGCTATGTACCTTGTAATTTGAAAAACTCTGACACCTTATTGGCAATGTAAGGGAATATGAATCTTTCTGCAACTGACATTCTGCCAATGAAGATCATTAACTGCTGAAAAAAAAAGCATTTTAAGTGTGTTCTGGACAAAATATTTTGATTGTGTAGCTCCATATTGTTTTGCATTGTAAAATGCAAACAGATTCTCAGCTCAAAAGTAATATTATATGTGGGTATTTGCACAAAGGAAGAGTATTTTGTGGTTGTTCATTGATTGTTAGGTTCACTTTTTGTTAATTGTTTTATATAAAAAAGTGATTTTTTATAGGTTTGGACAAAGTTATTGGCATCCTAATTTATGTTTCAAATATAATGAAGTTTAACATAACCTTCAGAGCTTGCATTATTCCACATGTTTTGACCATTGTTGAAAAATGTCAGGAAGTCTTTTAGGTTAATTGTGAATGTGTGCCTTTAATTCCTTACAGACCATTGATTTTTCAACAATGTTTAATATCAGCATGATTAAACATCAGCATTTTTATTCCACAAGACTGTGAGGTAATTTGAATGTTTGTTTTTTACAGTGCCCCTATGCCCTACCTCATCGGAGTGCATTCTAGTTTAATGGAGGTAAGTTTGTTTGACTCTTATTAACATTACATTATTGTATATTCTTGGAAAACACAGGCATAAATTGCTACTGTTGCAGTATCTGAAAATGTTGCTTGAATTACACATACGTTTTCCCAGAGATTGAATGCTCCTTGACTTCAAGTAAAAATTGTCAAATGTCTCCTAAAAATAAATAGAAAGACATTTTACTTCTAAATCTTTTTTTAAGCTTTTACTTACGATTATTTTTCTCCTTTCCCTTGGCAGCCTATGTTCACTGTTTTGTTTATTAAACAGGGAGTGATACGAAAAAGGTTTTTAATAGGTGTTGATAGTTATTGAGGCCGAAGTATTTTCAAATACAGTATGAATATGAAAAAAAAATCTATTATTCTTTCTATTCCTCTTATTAATTATCCATGTTCGGGAAGTAATTTCTCTCAGCTAATCAAACATTTAGTCACTTTTTGGAACTGATCTCTACTATTGTGTGTTTGTTACAGTCTGGTAAAATTCCAAGGATCCTACTATACCATAAATCGTGTTCAAATTCTCCGGACTATGTCGATATTAACTTTCTTTAGCGGTGTGTTCATTAGGAAGAAGAAATGAGAAAGCCTTAGCAGTACCCTGAATTCTGAAAACACATTTCTGTTTTTTTCTTAATGGAAAACTAAAGAGTCATTTAGGAAATAAAAAACATACTACAAGCAATTTATGAAAGAAAGTAGGCGCAGTGAAATGATGACTTCAGCTTTCTGCTGGATTTTATGTTCTTATACATGCACCATCTCCGGATTGTAAAATTGCTTAGTGGGATTTTAGAGTCAGTCAGCTTTTGTACAGGATGTATATCAGGTTGAGCGCAAATACTGCAGACAGATGAATAGTTAAGCACAGAAGATTATGTGCTTGCCATTTAATTGGAAGCAAAAAAGTACAGCTGGCTCACAGCTCTTAGACCCCAGGTTCAGTTCCAGACATGGACACTTACTGTGTGGAGTTTGAATGTTCTCGCAGATGTCTGCATCGGCTTTCTTTTGGTACTCATTTTCCTTCCACGTTCCAAAATCTTGCCGGCTGTGTTAAGTGGCATCCCTACATTGGCCCTGTGTTGTGTGCTCTCCCGACTAGCGTGTAGTGCCTGCTTATTCCCTGTGCCTTCTGGGTAAAGGGTAAAGTTCAAGTTCGCCACCTCCATCTTTAACAGAGTTATGAATAACGGAAGGATGAGTTGTCATTTCTCCATAACATAGGAGAAACATAGGTTAACGGAGATTGTTTTCTGTCCTCTATGAATCCTTCTTGTGTCAGTATTTGGTGGCACTAGCAGAGCACTCGAGGAAAGATTTTATCAGTACGCATTTCAGAGTAGTGTAGTAGAGTTTTGTATTTGTTTCATCCCTAGGTTTAAAACCTCACTACAAGTACAAGCTTGAAAGACTTTTTAAATTACAAAGGAATTTTGAAAATCAGTTAACCGTGCCTTATTTTTTTGTGTAGTGTGAAATTACTGCATTCAGACATCTGCTCTTACTTGAAAGTTTTTTTTGTGTCCTGTGAGACATGATTGCATTTTTCTGTTTTGTTATGAAAAGGCTTCGAATCTCTATTTCAACTTTGTGTCCCCAAGATTTTTCAGAGGGAGAGACCTGGTGCTGGTGGGAGAGACCTGAATATAGTTTTGAACATAAGTAGCATCCAGCAAACATGAAATGTAAAATTGTTTTCCATTCACCAGTATTACACATACAGTATAAGTCTTTTAGGTCACCTGTTTTTAGATTGGCAAAACCTGTAAGTTAATGATGAATCA